ACATAAAATGGAGTATTAATCAGCCTTAAAATGGAAGTATTGATACATGTACAACATGGATGAACCTCAAAAACATTATGCTAAATGAGAGGAGTCAGATACAAAAGGAAGAACATATCTAGAGTAGGTAAATCCACAGAGACAAAAAGCACATCAGTGGCTGCCAGAGGCTTGGGGGCAGGGAAGAAGAGGGAGAAACTTCTTAATGGGTATGGTGTTTCCTTGTAGGATAAAACATTTGGAAACAGATGATGGCTGGATATAACAAATGTACTAAGTGCTACTGGAACTGTACACTTTAAAATGGTTAATTTTATATGTTATGTGAATTTTATCTCAACAAAGAGTAAATGTGCACAGGTGATGTGCATGTGAGGAAACAGAGACAGCCAAGCGTTAAGAAGTTTCAAGACAGAGGGCTGAATTAAAGCAGTAGAGTCTGAGAAACATGAAACCAAAGGAGGGATTTTTCTTTCTTGAGATGGGACATCCCAGAACACATTTATGCTGTTGTGAATGATCCAGTGGAGAATACAGATTGATTAATGCATGCACTACAGCCCCTGAGAATGGAGAGGATTCTGAACACAAGTGAAGAAACTGGTCTTGGAAGACCTCCTTCTATCCTGCCTAGTCCCTGACTGAGCTGCCTACCCTTCCAACATAGTTGCTGTCTGGGTTTGTCCACTCTTGCAGTACTGTCTATTCCTGAGACACTCGGGTTGCTGTATAAGCACCCAAGCCCAATAATAATCTGAATAATCCACACATGCCTCTTCACATGAACTGCCTTTAAAAGAGCTTAGCATAGAACCTCTAGAAGCACTATAAGCTTTCAAAGAATTACATTAGCATGGCAGAAGGTTTGTAGGGAAACATGCGGGAATGAGTGAGGGACAGTCAAAAAAAAAAAAAGGAAAAAGAGTCACCAGGAAACTGATATATATTTTTAAGTGAAGCACATAAACTCACCTTTTTCATCTTTCACCACACACTGGGTTGTTTCTTGACAATGTTTAGGTACCACCACAGTTGCTATCTCTTGAACATCTTTCATTAAAATATCACTGTCTACTTTAAGAATACTTTTAAGTCGGCTGAGCTCCTTTGGGGCATTCTTTTTTCTCTTTTCAGCACGCATCTTTCTTTTCCACTTACTACGTAAGCTTTTAGCCATATTTTACCTGGAAAGTTAATAAGAATACATATTCAAAGCAAATATTTGCTATCAAAAAGGGGTGAAGAGGGAAAAATCTTAGAAAACCAAGTCAAAAGGTATCTACAAAACATAAACAAATAGAAGGTAAAACTCTTTACTCTGTTCATAGTTTATGATGGCATAATGTGCAAATTATGTGAGCATCAACACAGCATATACAGCCACTAAAGAAGAGTTAGTAACACCAAATTTAACTCCTTGCGATCACTGGCAAACTATAAGTCATGTCTGAAAACTCCTGGAGTTTCCATACAAGATACAGAACTTTAATTTCCCCCAAAATGCAGAGCATCATCACCTTATATTTATACAATAACTTACAAGTTACAAAAAGCTCTTATATCTTTCAATTGAATCTTGATCTGAGTGTCCTCAAACCTACAGCACATTCCATTCCCAATCTTCCTCATTATCCACTCTCTCTCAAGTCAATCTACTTTCAACTTGTCTATTTCCACTTTTGCTTTCTCTCCACCCCTTAGCCCTAGCCCTAAATCCTCTACCAGGTGGCTACTGTAAGCTTTAAAAACTTAAGAGCATATCATTGCTTTTCATGGAATTCTTTAATAACTTCCTACCTTATTTATTCAGTATCTACAAGGTTCTTAATGACCTGGCCCCTGCCTCCTTCAACTCTCTCTTCTCATGTTACACACTCCCCACCAACCCTGAGTACCAATTACATCTGAAAAAAAAACAGTCTGGTGATATGATGCAGAATGGGTAGGAAGGGATTATAAGAATTATAAAGTTTTGGGGGAAGCATTGGTAGTGATTTATAACATCATGTCTATTGTGCTGATATATATACACACCGAACTTATATCACATACATTAAACATGTGCAGCTTGAGTTAGTTGTACATCAACAAAGCACTTAAATCATTAAGACATGAGTTTGAAAAATAAATAAAGAAAAAGAAAAAAAGTCCAAACTATGACCACTTCAGTGCATTTGCTGCTCCTATGCCTAGGAACTTATTTTCCTAGGAAGGAAGGCTCGTCCTTCATCTCAGTACCTTAGGCAGGGCTGCTCTGACACCCGCCGTAGGCTCCCCTCCTTTTATTCTCTACCACGACATTCTTTTCTTTCCTCTTAAATACGTGTTACAATCTGAAATTAATTATTTTCTATCATCCCTGGAGGTCTGTGGGCGCCACAAGGCAGGGACTAAACAGGTCTTTTTCATCGTTGGATCCCTCAAAGTAAAGCGCTTTGCACATAAACATCTGTTGAATGGATGATTAATGCACTAGCATTTTTGGACTCCAGCAATCACAAACTCACTGACCGTCTACAGCAATCCAAGCTCGGCCGGGGCAGGGAGGGGAGTTGCGGTCAACAACCTTGAAGGTCGAGGTCAACCTGAGCGAGACTGAACCAAGAGCGGGTACTGTACTCTATGCACAGCGCACGAGGAACGCCGCCAAGGCCGCGGGAGGCCCTGGAGGAAGGCCTGCATCGCTGGGCCGAGCTCCAGCTTGTCCATAGAAGGACGAGGCTTGAAATAAGATTCCCCATAGGCGTTGGAATCAAGCCCCAACGCTACGCCCCACTCGACCCGGGTGGTGTAGCACTCACCGGAGACGGCTCGGAAACTCAGACCTCACGCAGCTCACGGCGACCAGAAGCCCCCGCACTTCAGCCTTCCGGGACGCTCTTCCCACCACGCCCAGCATACCGCGCGGGCGCGCTGCACGCCGGGAGCCGACCTGCTCCGGAAAGCCTCGGGAGGCGCGGTCTTGGGAATCCGGCGCTGACGCGTTTCCGGCCTCTGGCGCGGCGCGCATCTGGAATCTAGGCTCTTGGATAGGTGCGCGTGCGGGATTCGGAGAATGCGGACGAGAGTCCTGCCTCGGTTCTTAACCCATGTACGCCCACTCCGCAGGTATGCGCGGGATAGCCGCGAGACTAGCCAAGGAACGGTCCTGGCCAGGCGACAGGCCTGTGAGGTAAGCTCGGAGCCGACCTTTAGATCTCACGTCCGGCCTCAGTTCACACAGTTTTCATGGATTTCCTTGGCCCGAATCACCCCAGATCACAAATGTATCTAGAATCCAATCGGGGTCATTTTCATTTGCAGTCCTTAAGTTTTCCCCTCGGGCCTATGGCCTCACGCGTGTACGTCAAAACTTACCAAATTGTACGCTTTAATTACGTGCAATTTGTCAGTTATACCTCAAAGCTGTTACTAAAAACAAGGAAAAAAAAGAACCCTTTCCCATCCCAAACACAAGTACAAAGGGTAAAATGATTAAACGAGTTAAGTTCATCCAGTGTTTACCTGACTAATCACTTCATGTATGCCAGACACAATGTTAAGCCTAGAACATTGTCTCTGGTCACATACAACATATTTTATATATGATTCTAATAGCATAGGCTTTGGAACCAGACTGGTCTGAAATATTGGTTCCAGCACTTCCCTGTGGATGATGTGAGCAATGAATACTAAGGGCCTGCATTTCCTTAACATGGAATGTACCTGACACAACCTAACTAATCCTAGGTAGGTGGTAAGAGCTAAACAAATGGTAGCTCTCATCATTTTTACATAATTTCAAACATGCACAGTACTATTTTTAAGCAGTGTTTTCTGGAGATGTACAACATACACCAAAAAAACAGGAAATGAATTATCTTTAATGATGGCCTAATAAATTGGTTGCCTTAGTGAAAAAGTTCTTTCCAAGACAATTTGTGGGTAGATTTTTTCTTTATATTTGTGTCCTAGAAGAAACGGCATCATACAGAAATTACTAAACTCAGAATACTCTGAGTTTTTTTAACAGACTGAAAAAAGCTCAAACATAAAAAAGCTTGCTTGAAAAACTGTATTAAGTAGGTGATTAAGTTCTTAAAAGAGCTAGTGAATTTCTATTCTACAAGTTAGCTATGTTAGATCTTATTTACCTCTCCCAAAAATACACATTCACATTGCATTTTAAATTAGAAAAAGCTCACTTTCAGATAGTACAAATTTGACTGTATCTTAACATACCAGGCCAAGACTTCAATTTGAACAGAACCTTGGCACCAGAAAAGAAACAAATTTTATGAAAATGTGATGGTGTTAAATACATGCCATTAATTCTGCATTACTAATGCTTTTTAAAAAGCTGAATCATAGACTGCATTACTGAAAAGAAATAACTTTTTGACTTCTGTTCCTCACCATTTGTATAAAAGCAGTTCTAATAGGTTAGTGGATTTGATATATAAAAAAATATTTAATTCATTTTCTCATTCATACATTTAAGTAAGTACTCTGTGATAGACAGTATGCTGGGTATACAGTGATGATGGAAACTAAACTACTGTCTTCAGGAAACTAACCCTGATGGAGGAAGCACCAAACTGGACATACTTCAGCTCCCTCACAATGCTGGAAGGAGGTTATGGGACTGAAAGTACAGCACGTATCACTGAATACCTGACAGGAAGTGAACTGGTTCCCCATCTAGAAGGCATGCTACACTAGGGACACCAGCCAGTAGGGCCCCTGCAGTCATGGAATCGCTGATCTGAATAATCACTTAAAAAGGACTAGGAAGACTTCTGAGGTTCAGATGGTGACCTCAGGTTGCCCAGGCCTTAGGTAACAGAGGCTTCAAGACAAAGCTGTACAAAGATGAAAAAAAGGAACCTAAGTTACCAGCTGCTCTGAAAAGGCCCACAGCTGGCTGCTGACAACACTAAAACCCAAAAGTACATCAGGTAGATTTAAGCCAGGTGTGAGGCCTGCAGAAAAGGAATGAAGGTGGGCATACAGGGTTCACTGCACCTTTCCCCAAATTACATTCAATAAAAACAGTTCTCACATACTATTCTCCTCATTTTCCTCCTATCTCGCTGGCTATACTTTGTACCTTGCACATGGAGTTGCCTGTCACTCTGTCCAAGTCCTGCTGGTTGCACTTTTTAAATATTTCTGGAGTCTGCATATTTTCACCTTTACTTGATGTAAAAAATTGATATTGCATGTACCCTTTTACACAGCAATTCTGCTTCTAGATATATTCCCTACCTAGGCATATACTCCCTCCCTACGCAAACTCCTTTACCTGTGCACACTGGAACACACATAGCAGCACTGATTACTATAGTGAAAAAGAACGAACTGTACAGAATTCACTGACAGAGGAATGTATGAACAACTATGGTTCATTTATAAAATACAATGGTTTTCAAACTTCTTGATCTTGTGATCAATCTCTTTACACTCTTAGAAATTACAGTATTTGTCATATTAGAAATTGAAAGTTTTTTTGCAAATTCATTTCCTTTAAAAAGATAAATTAATGACAAATTGAATAAATATTTCAAAAAAACTGTTATTCCCAAACCAAAAAATAATTTAGTGAAAGGAATAGCAATGTTTTACATTTTTTACATGTCAAGTCTGCTTTTGCTTATTTAGTATCTTTAATCACAATTCAGTACACTCTGCATTTGGACTGACAATAATAGCAGCTGACACTAACTAAGCACTTTGTTTATATGATATATCCATCTCATTGATCCTTGTAACAATCCAATAAGGTATTTCTTATATTCCCATTATAAAGATGAGCAAAAGACCTAAAATGGTAAGTAACTTGCCAAGAGTCACATAATCAACACAGTCTCCCAATTTAAATGCTCTTACCCACTATGCTATATTAAACTTGAGTCTAGCATCATTCAATTGGGTATTCAACAACTAATTGATAATGATTAAGTTAAACTTATACCTAAAACACACCAGAGGTTAAATCTATACTAGTAGCTTATTTCAATTTAATAGATGTAAAATGATGCTTAGTGAATGTTACAGGCTAATTGTGTACCCCCCAAATTCATACGATAAAGTCTTTCTTAGTCTTTTTGGGCTGCCACAACAAAATAGTAGAGAAGAGATAGTTCATAAATAACAGAAATTTATTTCTCACATTTCTGGAGGCTGGGAAGCCCAAGATCAAGGTGCCAAGAGATTCAACATCTAGCTAAAGGCCCTCTTCCCTGGCTGGTTCAGAGACTGTCTTTCACTGTCACTTCATGTGGCAGAACGTGGGAGGGCTCACTGTGAGGTCTCTTTTACAAGAACACGAATCCTATTCATGAGAGCCCCATGCTCATGACCTGAGTACATCCCGAAAGTCCCACTTCGTCATATCACAATGGAAATTAGGTTTCAACATTCAAATTTTGGGAGACACAAACATTCAGACCATCATAAAGTCCTAACCCCCAGCACCTAAGAATGCAACTGTATTTGGAGACAAGCTTTTTAAAGAGGCAATTAAGGTAAAATGAGGTCATTAGGGTGGACACTAATGACTGGTATCCTTAGAAGAAGAAGAAATTTAGGCACAGAGAAATTGAGAGAAGATGACCACTCAGCAGCCTAGAGACCTCATAAGAAACCACCCTGCTGACATCCTGACTCAGACTTCTAGCCTCCGGAACTGTGAGAAAATTAATTTCTGTTTAAGCCACTCACTGTGTGCTACTTTGTTATGGCAGCCCTAACAAAGTAATACAGTGAAAGAATTTACTAGGGTCATTGGTCACTAGTATACTGCTATAATTTTTAAAAAGAAACCTTAACTTTAAAAAACTAAAAATGTTAGTTATTATGCCAAATCTGACTTTCAAGCAGACTTTCAATTTTTAATTATCATTTTATAATTAAATGTCATTAATATTTTAATATAATTTTAATACTGAATAATTCTCTATGGAATTTATCTGTAATAGTTTTCCTTTCTAAATAAAGTTAAAATTAAAAGCCCTTAGAAAAAGGAGATTTATACTGTATAATGGTAAGGAGACAAGTACTTAAAATCAGACCTAATGTTACTTAAGGGAAAATTTAGATAAAATCACTACACAAAGATAACTTGATATTCTTAATCTAATCATGAAATTATTTCTGAATTGTAAATGAACAATCTATATATGGCAAATATAGCACATAAAAATAGAATTTGGATATCTCTTACCTGAGATTCTAAATCAAGGATTTATGGTATCTGCAATACCATTAAAACAGTAAGATTTATGCTACTGTTACATAATCTAATAATTATATATGTATTACATTAATATAATTGTAATTGCTATTATATAATTGTAAGAGCTCAGAAGTACACAGGAAATAACATCATAAAAGCTAATTATTATCTCAAACTTTATTACTCAGTAAATCAGTTTCTGTATACTGCTTTCAATCACTTTTTATTAACTGCTTCCAAAAACTGCAACAGGTGCAGGAATAGATTGATGATATCCAAATAGAGGCTGATGGCAGCTAATACATACTCCTCAGGTGACAGCCTATGCATCAGGGAGTGTGTGTCATAGATGATGAATCCACAGAAAAGAAGGGCTCCTGCAGCAGCCAAGACCAACTCCATTGTCTCATTATGAAAAAATAACTAGAAGAAATTAAAATAAGTTTATACTTAAGAACAATATTAAGAATATTGAAGTTATTTGCTGTTAAGTCACATATATTGTATACAGATTAAATAATGCTGCACAACTTTCAAAGCAAATGTTAAAAGCAGACAAAGGCAAGGCAGGTCCACCTTCATTTCTGTTGGATAAGAAGATGAATGGACAGACCAACAGATGCTATCCTTACTATGAAATAGGCCAGTTGACTTCAAACAGTAGCATTCCAAATATAAATTTAAAAATATAGTTCTTTATCAGAATTACATGTGCTACTTGGAGGTTAGCAATTACAAGTGAGGGCCTTTCTCTAGGTAATTCATTTTTAATTCATCCTTCTATCATTTTTAATTCAGTCAATGATATTGATAAACATAAGACCTAGGTAATTCATTTTTAATTCAGTCAATGATATTAACATAAGACCTTAATTTTTTAAAAGATAATTTTATAACCATTCTGTGTACAAATATTCCAGGTAATTATAACTAAGTGTCCTATGATAAAAGTTACTCTTAACAGTAACTTTTATATTAACTCTGCAGTAAATAACTTTTATATATAAAGTCATATATCTTTTTAATATATAAACATATATTTATATTGATATGGCCAGAATATTTCAAGTTACCATTTTAAAACAATTTACCTTCAAGATTCCTGACAAGCACAAAATCCACAGAACAGCAAATAGTCTATAAAAACAAAATATTAATAACTTAGAATATTATTCCTTACCAAAAAACTTTGTAAACCCGTTTGAAGAAATAAATCCATCCTGATATTTGGCAAAGAATATTGAAATGTAAGAATTCATAAACATATAATGAATACTGTAGAATATCCAGAATTTGAATGAACAGCTATCCAACATTAGTTTTTATGGTGTACAAAACTATTTAAGATAACACTTTTAAAGTTTTCAATTGGAACATAAAGAAAGTATTGATAAAAGCAGAAACATCAAGTTGTATATCAACAAAAATACTAATAAAAAAAGCAGAAACATCTTTAGAAGTATTTTACTTCAGAGATCTATAAAACTTCTAGAAAATATATACATGAACAAATGAAACGTAACTGCATTTTAAAACCAAATAATAATAACAAATAATTCTGTGAACATATCTGTTAAAGTTCCCAATGGACTATTTTATTTATGTATTATAGAACTTAATTTGCCACTGCTACAATTTTATGACTTACCATTCATACCTTTACATATATAAAGTATAATTATACATACATAATATAATGTATAATGATATGACAAAGAACATCTAAGAACTCAGCCCTTTGTTTTCATATATGAGACTTGGGAACATCTGCTGCTTCAGGCCACAAGGAAGTAAAGGGGTCAAATTTACCCTCCATCCTTAAATAAAAACCAGAGAAAACATGAAACAACAGTTTGCAGACACTGGACAATAAGAACCAAAGGACAGTGATTCCTGAAATAAGGGAAGCAAAGGAGGTAAACTCTACAAGTGACCTAGCTAGAAAGAGTTGCCAGGCCACAGTGTAGGCTAAGGAACCCATGTGGAGCTTTCTTGTCTCCTTGAGTTGAAGAGACAAGAATTCAGAGGTCAGAGAGCCCAAGGTGGCTAGAATGTACAGGACAGAGTTCCAGAAAGGAGAGAGTTTCTCCAGGAGCTAGCTAGCTCTTGCAGTAATATAGAGGGCTCCCCTCGAGTCTAGCTGAATATTCATCAATGCAGGAATGTGAGGAAGTCACAAAGGTTGGGGTAGGAACCACCACAGAGAAGCAGGCAGAACAATCCTTAGAGCTCACACAGGGTCGAGAATGGTTGGCATTTGCCAAGAAGAATGGAACAACCTCCTAAGACATGGGGCTTCTCAGAAGGGTACTGTCTCAACAGCAAAGCCTAATTAATCCTAAACTAAAAGTTGTCCTGGACCAATCCAGCAGAGCTTAAAACAAGCCTCAAAATGTTCAGACAACTTCCAACCAACTTCAGTACTTCCTAGTAGAAGAACAAAGCCAGAGATAATTGAGAAGAAAATTTTAAAATTCAGCACCCAACAATGTAAAATTTACAATGCCCAGCATCCAATAGAAATTATAAAGGCATGCAAAAGAACCAACGAAATATGGACCTGTAAGAAGAAAATCAACCAAAAGAAACAAACTCGGAAATGACACAATGATAGAATCAGTAAACAATGACATTAAAAATATATTCCATATATTCAAGGAGATTGAGGGAAGCATCATCATGAGTAGAGAAATGGAACACACACATTTTTAAAAGACACAAACTGAACTGAATTTCCATAGATGAACAGCAGATCAGACACTAAAGAAAAGATTACTGAACTTAAAAACTACAACAGAAATGAACCAAAATGAACCACAGAGAGAAAAAGACTGGAAAAACAAAACAGCATCAGTGAACCGTGGGACAGTGTCAAGAAGCTTAACATATATGTACCTGGAGTCTCAACAGAGATGAGAAAGAAGTGGGTACATAAAAATGTTGGAAGAAATAATGACTGAAAATATTCCAAATTTGATGAAAAGTTTAAACTGACAGACCCAAGCAGAAATAACATGCAAAAACACACACACATGCAAACACACACACCCCAAATAATCAAATTATAATAAAATTATTGAAAATTACTGAGAAAATGTTAAAGGTAGGTAGGGGATAAAAGTCATGTACAGAACAACAAAGATAATAAAGACAGCAAACTTCTTGTCAGAAACTACACAAGCCAGAATAGAGTACAGTGACATCCTTAAAGCACTGAAAGCAAGAAAAAGCCCTCAGACCTAGAATCCTATACTAGCAAAAAATAACTTTCAAAAACAAAGGTAGAATAAAGATTTTTTTTAGATATACAAAAGTTGAGCCCAACAGACCAACACTATAAGAAATGCTAAAAGGAAATCCTTAGGGAAAAGGAAAATAATTGATGGGAATCTGGATCTACACAAAGAAACTGAGAACAACAGAAATGGTAAATGTGTTGGTGAACATAAAAGACTACCTATTGTTTAAATCTCTTCAAGAGAGAATTTAATGTTCAGAGCAAAAATAATAATATTATGAAGTTTATACACATGGAACTAAAAGTTATGGCAACAATAGCACAAGGGTAGGGGAGAGGAGATACAAGTGTACTATACATGAAGTGGTATGTTATTTGAAGGTGAACTAAGATGACTTAAAGATGTATACTGTAAAGCTTACAGCAGCATCTATTTAAAAGCACTATAGCTAATAACCAATAAAGAAGATAAATGAGATCAGATAATCCAAAAGAAGGAGGGAAAAGAGGGAAAAAGGAACACAGAACAGATGGGACAAAGAGAAAGAAAACAAACCCAACTTAAACTCATATGAAATATAAATGGTCTAAACACTCCAATTAATAGCAGAAATGGCCAGATTGGATAAAAAAGCAAGGTCCAACAATATATGGCCTACAAGAGAACCATTTTAACTATAAAGATACAAGCTAAAAAATAAAAGGATGGAAAAAGATATATCATGCTAACACAACCAAAAGACAGCCAGGGTATATATTAACAAAGTAGATTTTAAGCCCAGAATATTAGCAGATATAATCCCCCTACATAATAATAATGAGGTCATCAAGAGGATATAGCAATCCTAAAGATTTTGCACCTAAAAACAGCTTCAAAATAACATGAAACAAAATTTCTAGAACTGATAGGAGAACCAATACATCCTTTTAATTGTACATTTCAATACCACTTTCACATTAATTGGTAGAACAAACAGGCAGAGTATTACTAAGCATGAACAACATCAACCAACTTCACCAAATTGACATTTATCACTCATCCATCAGCAAAACATACATTCTCTTCTAATACACAGAGAACATTTACTAAGATATCATAAAATGAATCTCAAAAAATGCAAATGGACTGAAATCATACAGAGTGTGTTCTTTAATAATAGAGTTAAATCAGAAATTAAATATACAGAGTAATAGAATCCCATTTGGTGAGAATGGTGGCATGGTGAGATTTCAATTCTGTTCTCTTGCTGGAATGGTCACAGAATCTCTCAGCATACATCTGGCATACCTAAATTAGAATTAAGTATCATGCCACCTTACAGTCTAGATCCTTCAGGATTGAAAAGAACTCAGGACTTGCATTTTGATACTAAAACCCTAAGGAAACTCCAAGGGTTCTGTACCAAGAAGTATGGGAACAGTGGTACTAAGAACTAACTAAGTACAGCATCTGAGATTTTACCCTACTTGCCAGCTAGTAAGTTAGCCTTACTCACACAATTTCAAGGATGCCATTAGAAGACATGACTCCTAAGTCTGAGATGAAGGACAGTTCATTACAGCAATAACAGTCCCTGAAGAAGACATAGTAGATAGGTGTCATGGGATTAAAGAAATGAGATAGCTAGAAGGATAAAAGATTGAAGAAAGCGGTACACTGGCATTTAAGATTTCAGCAGTGGAACAATCCCTAGTGATGACAAGGTCCACAATGTAGCCATGGCAAGGAGATTAAAGTTACCAACATAGAAGAGTCCAGATATATTGAGAAACTAAGGTGATGGATGGGCCTAATGTGTGGTTCAATGCTAAAGTCTTTAAAGAATAAAGAAGGCTTGACCAAAAAAGGAATCAGTGACAATAATCAGTAAGAGCAGGATGTGCATAGCTAGACAGCATAAACCTTAAGGCAGTGGATTTCCTACACACTGAAGGAATGATGAAAGTGGTGCTAGGGGATTGGAACAGTTTTCATCACTAACTCCCACCACTGCAAACTATATAGAGTATGGGAGAATGAGCAGCTAGAGGAGTCTTTCTCAGGGAGGAATCAAGTTTCCACTGACATGAAGAAAGAATATATTATGAACTGATATATAGGTGAGATTGTTTATCAGAATAGGAGTTCTAGAGACTGTACTAGAATGGATGGAAGGGAGGGGCAGAGTTGGAGACTGGGATGGGAAGAAGCAACAGAGAGCAAATCTTTCATCATATATACCACACAAGTATATATGCAACAGACCCCACCCCCCCATATACATAAAACAGGAAATGGAAAAAAAACATCTCTCACTGAATCAAACTCCATTCTAATACAACAATTCAAGTATCCTGCACAACTGTCAGTGTTGGGCTGACCAACTACATTATCTCAATAAGGATTTCTGGTAATCTGGATTACTAAAAAAAAAAGAAAAAGTTTTGCAAGAGTAAACTTTTGTAAATTTTTAGTGTTGTAACAGGAAAAAGAACAGAAAATGGGTGGTTGATTAGGTGCCAACAGAATGCTACTAATGACCTTAGAAAAGAGGTGGGCATTCTTACCAGGTGAGGGCAACACAGTACCATTAGCCTAATATAAAAAGGACCATTCTGTATATTTATTAGTTTGAAGGATACAGGGTAAGTAGAGGGATCAGGCAGGTTTTAAAGTTCATATAGACATCTCCAACATCTGGGTCATTTATCTTGCTTTTGTCACAAAGATGTAGATGGGTCTAAGTAACATTTATGTTAAGACAAAGATCTAAATAATTTAGGTAAATTCCGTATCACTCATAAAGCATATAAACCTAGCCTCTCTAGAAAGCTAGTTATTTTTGGCATTCACTTCCCTTTCAATATAGAGGGAAGCAAATGACTCAAAAGTCACCTTCCTTCTCCTTGTATGTCCAGCGAAAGTAGGGCCTGGCCTTAGTACTCAAAGAGATGATATCTTCTTACCCTCCATTTTAAAAGGCAGTATCCAAGGCTAGCAGCATAGCACTTCTCTCAAAACTACTTATAAAGATATGAGAGCTATGAATATACAACTTACCCTGCTCCAAATTTGCTGAAGTCCTTCTTAGATTGTAGAGTATACACAGTCAAACCAAGAAATACAGCAGTAGTCAGTATAAAAGCTTGCAGAATAACATAGACATCATAGAAAGTAACTGTAAAATTACAAAATATATCGTAAAAATCATAAAAATACTAAAAATGCATATAGACATAATATAAAAGCTTTTTATGGCATTTAATAAATATTTTATATTCTCCTGTACTACTTTCCAATAAAAACAATTATGAATAGATTTCTTATTCAATCTTGAATATTGGTAGAGTAAAACCACAACCATAATGCAATTAACAGATTCTAAAAATTCATTCATAAAACTAAAGGGGTCATATTATTACAAAGTTAAAGAAATGACTGGAGAGAGATTACACAGCTAGCCAGTTAGGAGTTTGGGGGATATGGTGGAATGCCTCTCACTTATCCCTGTGCCAGTTGTAGTTTATCACCATCTGTGGTGATTGTCCATTATGGCTTAAATATCAACAGGGATAATTCTGGGTCCTGTGGCCACTGGGAATTCCTGTACAGCAGCAGCATTTCTAGCAGTCACCTGGCTAAGTGCACACCCAGTTCATCAGCCCAAATCAAAGAAACTGTGCAAGAAAAGTACTGAGGCTGTCCAGGGTTGCCTGCCATCCACTGACCTTGCAGAGGACAGAAACCAACCACTAAATGCTTTACATCCAAATCTTCATTACCTTGGAGTAAATTATTGGAGTGGGGGGAGGTCAGTGAACATATACCAGATTCCCTTCTGTAACTTTAGAATGGCCATCTGGGTTGACTATGGCTATTGTAATACAAATGCTTAACATTTTAAGAGAATGCAGAATTATAACCTCTCTAAAGGAAGTTAAGTGCTTTGAACCCAAAACCATTTAAGTCATTTTTAATTTTTCAGGGATTAGTTAACCCAAGTTCTTTCTATTCTTAAATGCTACATTATTGGAATTTCTCTATGTCATTACTGGATTAGGAAGGAGAACACAAAAAAGATAACATGAAATCAATTTTGCTTCTTGTCAGTAATTTCAGTATTAGATTAGGTGTAAAAAGAGATAATTTCTGAGAAAAATGATGTTCTCAGATTAGCCCATCTATGTATTTCTATCCCCAACTCCAAAAACCCTAGAGTATGTCTCTCTCCTACATCCTTTACAAATAGTGAGAGCTGGGAAGGGCAGAGATGGACTTGATAACATTAACAGTAAGTAATATTAATAGTTAATAACACTAATAAGTAAATATTAATAATATTTCCTTTCAATGTTGAGAAATTTCAATCCTATTTTTTGGATAGTTACTATTATTTGCTTATATACTGATTATTTTATAAAAGGAAGAGGTGGATTACCAAATAATATATAGATTCAATAGACATACAGATGGCATAGAAAGGTTAAAAACTGTAATGACAAAATAGGAAGAGATATATTAACCATAAGGATTAAAAACGTACTGTTACTGAGACTTAACAGTTAATTCTGACCTTTTTGGTACTCTAGGTAAACCATTTTGAGACAACCAGAATTTTGAGATACAAGTGTACTATACATGAAGTGGTATGTTATTTGAAGGTGAACTAAGATGACTTAAAGATGTATACTGTAAAGCTTACAGCAGCATCTATTTAAAAGCACTATAGCTAATAACCAATAAAGAAGATAAATGAGATCAGATAATCCAAAAGAAGGAGGGAAAAGAGGGAAAAAGGAACACAGAACAGATGGGACAAAGAGAAAGAAAACAAACCCAACTTAAACTCATATGAAATATAAATGGTCTAAACACTCCAATTAATAGCAGAAATGGCCAGATTGGATAAAAAAGCAAGGTCCAACAATATATGGCCTACAAGAGAACCATTTTAACTATAAAGATACAAGCTAAAAAATAAAAGGATGGAAAAAGATATATCATGCTAACACAACCAAAAGACAGCCAGGGTATATATTAACAAAGTAGATTTTAAGCCCAGAATATTAGCAGATATAATCCCCCTACATAATAATAATGAGGTCATCAAGAGGATATAGCAATCCTAAAGATTTTGCACCTAAAAACAGCTTCAAAATAACATGAAACAAAATTTCTAGAACTGATAGGAGAACCAATACATCCTTTTAATTGTACATTTCAATACCACTTTCACATTAATTGGTAGAACAAACAGGCAGAGTATTACTAAGCATGAACAACATCAACCAACTTCACCAAATTGACATTTATCACTCATCCATCAGCAAAACATACATTCTCTTCTAATACACAGAGAACATTTACTAAGATATCATAAAATGAATCTCAAAAAATGCAAATGGACTGAAATCATACAGAGTGTGTTCTTTAATAATAGAGTTAAATCAGAAATTAAATATACAGAGTAATAGAATCCCATTTGGTGAGAATGGTGGCATGGTGAGATTTCAATTCTGTTCTCTTGCTGGAATGGTCACAGAATCTCTCAGCATACATCTGGCATACCTAAATTAGAATTAAGTATCATGCCACCTTACAGTCTAGATCCTTCAGGATTGAAAAGAACTCAGGACTTGCATTTTGATACTAAAACCCTAAGGAAACTCCAAGGGTTCTGTACCAAGAAGTATGGGAACAGTGGTACTAAGAACTAACTAAGTACAGCATCTGAGATTTTACCCTACTTGCCAGCTAGTAAGTTAGCCTTACTCACACAATTTCAAGGATGCCATTAGAAGACATGACTCCTAAGTCTGAGATGAAGGACAGTTCATTACAGCAATAACAGTCCCTGAAGAAGACATAGTAGATAGGTGTCATGGGATTAAAGAAATGAGATAGCTAGAAGGATAAAAGATTGAAGAAAGCGGTACACTGGCATTTAAGATTTCAGCAGTGGAACAATCCCTAGTGATGACAAGGTCCACAATGTAGCCATGGCAAGGAGATTAAAGTTACCAACATAGAAGAGTCCAGATATATTGAGAAACTAAGGTGATGGATGGGCCTAATGTGTGGTTCAATGCTAAAGTCTTTAAAGAATAAAGAAGGCTTGACCAAAAAAGGAATCAGTGACAATAATCAGTAAGAGCAGGATGTGCATAGCTAGACAGCATAAACCTTAAGGCAGTGGATTTCCTACACACTGAAGGAATGATGAAAGTGGTGCTAGGGGATTGGAACAGTTTTCATCACTAACTCCCACCACTGCAAACTATATAGAGTATGGGAGAATGAGCAGCTAGAGGAGTCTTTCTCAGGGAGGAATCAAGTTTCCACTGACATGAAGAAAGAATATATTATGAACTGATATATAGGTGAGATTGTTTATCAGAATAGGAGTTCTAGAGACTGTACTAGAATGGATGGAAGGGAGGGGCAGAGTTGGAGACTGGGATGGGAAGAAGCAACAGAGAGCAAATCTTTCATCATATATACCACACAAGTATATATGCAACAGACCCCACCCCCCCATATACATAAAACAGGAAATGGAAAAAAAACATCTCTCACTGAATCAAACTCCATTCTAATACAACAATTCAAGTATCCTGCACAACTGTCAGTGTTGGGCTGACCAACTACATTATCTCAATAAGGATTTCTGGTAATCTGGATTACTAAAAAAAAAAGAAAAAGTTTTGCAAGAGTAAACTTTTGTAAATTTTTAGTGTTGTAACAGGAAAAAGAACAGAAAATGGGTGGTTGATTAGGTGCCAACAGAATGCTACTAATGACCTTAGAAAAGAGGTGGGCATTCTTACCAGGTGAGGGCAACACAGTACCATTAGCCTAATATAAAAAGGACCATTCTGTATATTTATTAGTTTGAAGGATACAGGGTAAGTAGAGGGATCAGGCAGGTTTTAAAGTTCATATAGACATCTCCAACATCTGGGTCATTTATCTTGCTTTTGTCACAAAGATGTAGATGGGTCTAAGTAACATTTATGTTAAGACAAAGATCTAAATAATTTAGGTAAATTCCGTATCACTCATAAAGCATATAAACCTAGCCTCTCTAGAAAGCTAGTTATTTTTGGCATTCACTTCCCTTTCAATATAGAGGGAAGCAAATGACTCAAAAGTCACCTTCCTTCTCCTTGTATGTCCAGCGAAAGTAGGGCCTGGCCTTAGTACTCAAAGAGATGATATCTTCTTACCCTCCATTTTAAAAGGCAGTATCCAAGGCTAGCAGCATAGCACTTCTCTCAAAACTACTTATAAAGATATGAGAGCTATGAATATACAACTTACCCTGCTCCAAATTTGCTGAAGTCCTTCTTAGATTGTAGAGTATACACAGTCAAACCAAGAAATACAGCAGTAGTCAGTATAAAAGCTTGCAGAATAACATAGACATCATAGAAAGTAACTGTAAAATTACAAAATATATCGTAAAAATCATAAAAATACTAAAAATGCATATAGACATAATATAAAAGCTTTTTATGGCATTTAATAAATATTTTATATTCTCCTGTACTACTTTCCAATAAAAACAATTATGAATAGATTTCTTATTCAATCTTGAATATTGGTAGAGTAAAACCACAACCATAATGCAATTAACAGATTCTAAAAATTCATTCATAAAACTAAAGGGGTCATATTATTACAAAGTTAAAGAAATGACTGGAGAGAGATTACACAGCTAGCCAGTTAGGAGTTTGGGGGATATGGTGGAATGCCTCTCACTTATCCCTGTGCCAGTTGTAGTTTATCACCATCTGTGGTGATTGTCCATTATGGCTTAAATATCAACAGGGATAATTCTGGGTCCTGTGGCCACTGGGAATTCCTGTACAGCAGCAGCATTTCTAGCAGTCACCTGGCTAAGTGCACACCCAGTTCATCAGCCCAAATCAAAGAAACTGTGCAAGAAAAGTACTGAGGCTGTCCAGGGTTGCCTGCCATCCACTGACCTTGCAGAGGACAGAAACCAACCACTAAATGCTTTACATCCAAATCTTCATTACCTTGGAGTAAATTATTGGAGTGGGGGGAGGTCAGTGAACATATACCAGATTCCCTTCTGTAACTTTAGAATGGCCATCTGGGTTGACTATGGCTATTGTAATACAAATGCTTAACATTTTAAGAGAATGCAGAATTATAACCTCTCTAAAGGAAGTTAAGTGCTTTGAACCCAAAACCATTTAAGTCATTTTTAATTTTTCAGGGATTAGTTAACCCAAGTTCTTTCTATTCTTAAATGCTACATTATTGGAATTTCTCTATGTCATTACTGGATTAGGAAGGAGAACACAAAAAAGATAACATGAAATCAATTTTGCTTCTTGTCAGTAATTTCAGTATTAGATTAGGTGTAAAAAGAGATAATTTCTGAGAAAAATGATGTTCTCAAATTAGCCCATCTATGTATTTCTATCCCCAACTCCAAAAACCCTAGAGTATGTCTCTCTCCTACATCCTTTACAAATAGTGAGAGCTGGGAAGGGCAGAGATGGACTTGATAACATTAACAGTAAGTAATATTAATAGTTAATAACACTAATAAGTAAATATTAATAATATTTCCTTTCAATGTTGAGAAATTTCAATCCTATTTTTTGGATAGTTACTATTATTTGCTTATATACTGATTATTTTATAAAAGGAAGAGGTGGATTACCAAATAATATATAGATTCAATAGACATACAGATGGCATAGAAAGGTTAAAAACTGTAATGACAAAATAGGAAGAGATATATTAACCATAAGGATTAAAAACGTACTGTTACTGAGACTTAACAGTTAATTCTGACCTTTTTGGTACTCTAGGTAAACCATTTTGAGACAACCAGAATTTTTATTGTTAATAGATCATGAAATTTTTTACTTGGGGCATTACACAGGATACACATTCTCTTAAACACATACGTAACATCAAATAAAGAGCAAAAATTACCACTGTTTCTTTGTAGTGCCATTTGACAAAATATGAGGGTATAACAATAAAGCATAGTTCAATGCCGGCAACTCAAGAGGGCTGTGATGAAAGGATATGGCTCCAAACATATGTTACCAGTTCAACAAACATGTTACCTCAGAGATCCCTTTACATTAGCTATGGTTGTCTTATTTTTATAAGTGGACAAACTCAAATGAATATTGTCCTCCATTCCTATTGTTTTCCTAATTCTTTTCTGCAGCCTCTAAGCTCAGCTGAACTATGTATAGACATTTAACTTTTACTTATATTTTTAAAATTCTTCAACCTATACCATGTTTTTGAAATATGACATTCCATAAGGTTAAGCTTTAGCCCCAAACACCTTTTTACCCAAAAGATTTATCCACGTTAAAAAATGTAACATACAGAAGCACATTTATGGCTTACCAACAAAGGCCACAGTCAGAGCTTCCAACAGTGTCTAAGAAAAGGAAACAAATTACATAAATGCACATCAGATTTATACTGCTGTCGTATGTATGTTCTAGTTTCTAGGAGTTCATTGTGATTCCATATGCATTTTCTCATTTTAGCTTCAGAGCAGCCTTGTGAACTATATGGGACAGATAATAAGCACACTATAATGAAAAGACCTCAGTGTATTGAGTAAGAATATTTAGATTCTAATTGTGATCCCATCATCCCTTAAACTCTAACTAGTTTTTCATATCTGTAACAGGAAGATTACAGAAATAATATAAAAATTCTACTTTTATCATTCTCTATAATGTAAATCAAAATGAAATTGAAAGTCTTATGCACATTTATAAAAATCTCAGTATCTTACACAAACATAGGAAGAACAAAATATTTAGGAAGTACCTTGATATGGCGGCAGTCTTGAAACTTTGTCTCCCAATATTTATTCTCTTTCTTCCCTAGTAACAGAATTTTTACCTGGACACATAGCTGTTCAGTTTGTACATTACATTTTCGGCCTCCCCAGCAGCTACATCTTTCTAACCAATAGAATGTGACTAGAGAGATGTACAACTTGAAAGAGTAAAGAGACTTGCTCTCCCCTTTCTATTCTTCTTTTTTTTGAAACATTTGGATGGTGGTGCATATCTTATACACACAACACTTGAGGAAAGCCTTACCCATAGCAGGTGCCTGGATCACTGATAACTTCACTAATAGTCGTTCAGATTTTTACTTGAAAAAGATATAAACCATCTTGTTTAAACCATTATGATTTTGTCATTGCTGAAAGCCATGTGACAAGTAGCTAACTCTTAATATAAATAAAATATTTAGGGATATTGAGCTTTATCCTCTAGCTTCTCTGCCTTCTTAATTACATATCTTTATGTTGTTTTATATGCTTACACTAGTTAGATCTTATAAACTATCTGATAGACCACTTCATAGAGGCAAAACCATTAGCTAACAGCAGTGGCTATACACCATACTCCTGGAAGAAGCACTCCCAATAACCCACCCCTACTGAAATCAAGACCTCAGAACCTTAGCAAAAATGGTATTAGAAATTGTACATAGATATGTACTCCGTAAAGCCACTTTGTTATAATGTTATAAGTGTTGGGGAGGTCGTAGCAAAAGATGATAGAAATATATTTTTCTGGGCAACATGCCTGTACATTCTTGATATTTGTGACATTAATTTAGGTAAGAAATCCTACCCCATACTCAATTATCTGTAGAAAACATGACAGTATAAATAAGAGAAGATAAGATTAGGAAACTTAATGCCAACCCTTTTAAATGTGTACAGATAGATACATACACACATGAATGTGTGCCTCCTAAGGCAAGGTAAGGTACATCTCCTTTCTTATTTTGGTGGAGGAGGACAAAGTACCCTAGTATCAGGGGCCTCTGAGTAGTCTGAAATTCACTGCACATGCCTTCTTACTTGTTAAACCATTTTTAGCTATGAGCATGATCAACAGTTACAGCAGTAAGTCACCATCTTGCCCATAAGCATTTGGCTGATGCTCTTATCTCCCTGCTTGGCACAAGTTAGTCCACACTCTCGTCCCATATAGAAATCAATCAAAGTCTTTCCAAAAGGAAGCTGACTATTTATAGAGTTGAAGAGGAACTACACATGACATGTTTCTTTTTGTATCTCCTCCGTCTCTTCTAGGACACAGGTGATTGGTACAGGAGTTAGCTGCTAACCCATATATTGGCTAACATTCCAGGATGTGAGCTGTGGCAATCAGATTCTTTCTCATTTAGGAATCTAAACTCATAGAATGAAGAAATGGCAGCAGGAGCTAAAACTAAAAGGTTCATGAACTCTATGAGGGCCCACAATGGGCCACATAAACACTTAAGATAATAGCAAAGGGGAAAACTATGTGTAAGGACAGCTGTAAGGTAGAGAAAAGATGTAATGGAAAAAGAGAGGAGACCACAAATTCTTGCTGCTGAATTTCCTACAGTAGTACCATTTCTAGAACCTTCCTCTAGTTCTTTTTCTTCTTGAGTCCTGCTGGATTTGGGCTGGTGGGTTCCTAAGCTCTTATATCCTTAAAACTCCCAGCTATTTGAGATAACTTGGGTTAGAGTACTGATACCTGACAAACAAAACAGCCTAAGATTTACATGAATAACTTTTGCTGTAATTCTAAAGTCATGAGCTTTTCTTTCATCATACTAACATAAACTTGTTTCCAGAATTCACAAACTCTCTTCAGTTTAAAAGCACTTAATCTGGTAAATAGCATTTCACTCTTACTTGACTATAAATATTCTTAATATGAGTTTCAAATGTTCTGAAGTAAGTTTTTAAATCAGAACCCAAAGTCATACTAGATATGAGTATAGGAAAAGTAATTTTTAAAATACATAACTTGAGCATTACCAACTCATTTTGGTCAAGTTTCATATTGAGTTTTTGTAAGTAATTTAGTTTTTAGTTTTCACAAATATCTCAACAAACATGACTTAAAGTTGAGTTACTCCAACTATAATTTGAAACAAGACAGTAAAACACATCAGTTGAGCAAATGGTTCTTTAAAAGAACAGTGTTAACTGTGAGGAATTAATCATAAACATATCAGTTTAAGGTCTGTGAAATAAAGGCCACAATATAATTTTTTCCCAAGAAATCACAGAGTATAGGGATAGAAAGTATCACAGGAATAATCTAGTTTTCATTTTACATTTAAGAAAACTTTGTACAGAAAGGCTAACATGCCCAGCCAACTATCATAACTGGATAGTCACAAAGCCGAGTCATGTAACACCAACTCATTATTTTTCGGACTACAGCATAATTTCGACAGACAACTTTGGAACTGACAAAGGTTAAAATCTCCAGAAGACTAGAAATTACAAGTAATTTTACTCATATTTTTAAAAAGCTCATTAATTTTGTCCCACTTCTGTTATATATGTATATGCATTCAAATAAATAAATTTTACACTCAGTAATAAGTGTAATAGGAACAGATATTGTCAAAGTACTCACAAATCCAAAAAGCAGGTACAGGTTAAGGGGATGCTTATGTCTGTTTAAAGTCAATGCTAAAATCAAACCCAAAGATCCAAGAGCAAACACCAAAATTAAGGCAGGACTGAAAGACATAAAATTAAAAGCATTTTCAAGTTAAAAAATGATATAAACATATTACACAATTTAACAAAATTTATCTAATTTATGTGTTTATGAAGGTATAGGGGAAAAAACCTGAAATGACCCATACCAAACTGTCAAAAGAAATTATTTTTCCATTTGGAAAATTTGAGGAGTGTGAGATGGGGAGAAGAAGAGGACAAAAAAGATAGATGAGTGTTTAACCCTACAAAACTGTAAGGTCTAAAGTTCAGAGGTAAATCCCATATTATGGAGCATTTTCCTTATCAAAATAAGAGTTAATAATGAACCTTTTTTACATTCTAACCTCAAAAGTTAATACAAAAAATATGCTTATAATATGCCCTTCTGATCATATGCAGTGGCTGAAATGATTCAGAATCATCCTGTTACCTTACCTTTCATGCACAAATGTCCGTACAGACTCAAAGTATAAAAACAAAATAGATGTCACTGTAGTTAAGAGAACTTGCACGGAAAGGATGCTGTAGACTTTTCTTAGAAAGGCTGAAAGAGAAAAAAATTACACATGACTGACAATTTTCTTAAGAACCTATCATAGAACTGCAAGATGAAATTTCTTTTTAGAAACATTAAATTTTCACATGTATTCTCTTAAATCTTAATCCAAATAATGTAATCTGTAACTAAAACAAACTAACTAAAACCAACTCACCACCAGCTTCAGAAACAAAACATTAACAGTTCCCACCTCCTCTATGTATACATATTGACAGTAACATCCTCTGTCTTCACTGACCCTTGACTAACTGCTAATCATCTTACACGACTCAGCCTTTCTCAGTTCCCCAGTCTGAATTAAATGCTCTCTCATATTCCCAAGGGACTGTAAACATACTTCTAATCACTTTATTTTATAATTGATAAGTCTATTGTCCTTCACTCCCATTAGCTATAAAGACTAAAAAGCTCCCCAATAATAGGGAGCATACCTTAATTATTTACATACTCCTAACACCCAACTAAGTGAATGGGACAAAATAGTCATTAAATTTTACTTGTTTTAAATTTATATTGAATTAATGAAAAGTGAATCTTGCCAGTCAAGGAAGATAAAAGGTATTATTCTGAAAAAATAATGGAGCCACATAACTTCTGCAGAATACTCTGCTTAGGCAAGTAATAGAAACATTTTTGAATGACTTTTAGTCAACAAAAGGTATTGTCTTCGCCGCTCATGACAATGCTTATATGATAAATGTTCCCTCTGGAAAGAATTCCTACTAAAGATCTGACTTCCCAAGGAAGAATGAAGTGCTCTGATGGCATGTCAGCAAAATATCAAGTAATAAAATAACTATAAGAATAAGGGAATGTGACTTCAATGGGGTATGGGGGGTACTTGATAATATGGGTGAATGTAATAACCACATTGTTTTTCATGTGAAACCTTCATAAGAGTATATATCAATGATACCTTAATAAAAATTTAAAAAATAAATAATAAAAAATTGAAAAAATAAAAAGGGAATTTTCATAAATACTAAAATTGTAATCCTTAAAATGCCCCCAAATTAAGTCTTAATCTGTGTTTCCCTCTGGTATTCTTTCCAAAATATACAGTGAGTTTTTCTTTATGTCCTAAACAGGTTTTACTGAGTATGTAATTTAACCAATGACTCATAGTAACAGTGAATATCAGTTGTATTTTGGCCTAGGCCTAAGTAGGTATCTTGCACAAAAAAGGAAATAAATATTGCTCATCTCCACAGCAGATCTACAACATATTTTCTTAAAAAGGCCCTGATGTCTGTATGCTTTGGGAGGTCACTTCTACTTTTTTCACAGAAGCAGAGAAAAGAATACATTACTGCGTGTGTGTGTGTGTGTGTGTGTGTGTGTGTGTGTGTGTGTGTATGCACAAGTGCAAATATAGTAAGACTGGCAGAATATACACAAAGATGTTAGTAATGGTTTTCTCTGGGCAGTATGACTGAGAATGACTTTCATGTTCAATTCTTTGCTAATCTGTTTTCTATGTATCACCAGTAAATATTTATTACTTTTGTAATAGAAAAACATTTTAGAGAAACCTATGCTAAGGCAATAAATTTATTATAAAAATACTCTTTATGCAAGTATTCTAGATTACAACTTTTCTACACTCTCTAAAAATGGGACCTTTTGAATGACTAATATAAAGAGTGACTAAAGGTACACATCACGGCTTACAGGAAAAAAATAAAAGATCCAATGTGAAAAGAATACAGGCCAAACAGCAATACGTCTTCATTTTTTAAATCCTAATTTCTCCCTTTCTATTTCTATCTCTCCCCTTTCTACTCAAACTTACCATGGAAAAAACAGGAACTCTTCATTTCTACCCAAATCCACCTATCAGTATCCAGCACCAACATCCATGTCAGGAGGCATCTCAGATCCCCTCGCTTTCCATAATCCATCACCTACCACTGTGGCTTCCACTTGCAAGTATGCCACGTCCATCTTGCCTCCTCTGCTACCTCTGTCACCTGGACTAATGTGTGGCTTCTAACTGGTCTCCATGCTTTCACTCTTGTCCCACCTATTGTCCCAGTCCCCTCCCACACAGTTGTCAGTGATCTTTTTGTAAAGTAAACCCTTTCAATGTGACTCCCAGCTTAAATATTTTTAATGGTTTCATTTAGTCTTAGAATAAAATGTAAAAGCTTTTATGGGGCCTTCAAGGCCCTACATGATATAGGACCTTCCCAATCTCTTCTTGCACTGCTCTGCCTTTTCCTCACTATGCTTTACCGACAACTAGCTGTTACCCCAACATACCAAGTCCTTCCTGCTTATGGGCAGCCCTTGCTGTTTCCTCTGCCCGGAATGCCCTTATCCTTCTTTACATGGAATGCTAGTTTAAAAGATGTCCACAATTTTCTGACATTCCCTTCAAATGACTCACTTCTAACAAGTAAGGCAGAAGAGATAGGGTGTGTTATTTCTAAGACTAAATCATAAAAGGCAATACCTGTCAATTATATATCAATTTTTTTTAATGGCAATACAGGGCAATTTTTCTTACATCACTCACATTAGGATGGTGTTTTCCAACCTTTTTTTTATTATTGCCCACCTAGGGACCTTCTGGGGATTTTTTTCCTAATAGCACCTCCAGCGTATTTTAACACCACAGATACTGTACATCTGTTTATGCACCACAGCTCTTTGGAAGGCTATAAACCATTTTAACAGCTGCGATTCTTTTGCCTTCCACCTCAAGAACCAGTTTTTACCTGGGAGGCAATACTTCCCTCACTAAAAATGAGTGCTCTAGGAAAAGCCAGCTGCCAGTGTTATGGGGAAGCTCAAGAAGTCTTGTGGAGAGATCCTTGTGGTGAGAAAGTGAGGTCTCCCACCAACAGCCAGTGAGAAACACAGGCCTTCTGCTAACAGTGATGTGTAGCATATCCTTCAGCACCAGCCAAGCCTTCAGATGACCATAGCCCCAAACAACATTTTCATTAAAACCTATGACAAACCCTGAGCTAGAATTGGCCAGCCACCTGGTCCTTAAAAACTGATAATACAAATTTACTCAAGCCACTAAGTTTAGGGTTAGTTTTGTTACATGGCAATAGAGAACTAATATAGGCTTTGGTACCTGGAAGTACAGTGCTGCCATAACAAAAACCTAAAATATGGAAGAGGCTTTAGAATCAGGTAGGGGTGGAACCTGGTAGTTCTTTTGAGGTGAAAGGCCTTAAAGAAACTGTAAGAGGATAATGCCTTTCAAGAGGCTGTGGGTAAGGGCTTAAAGGAAAGTAAGAAAAATATCAAAGAAACTGGAGGAAAGAAAATCATTATGTACTGGCAAGAAAATTAGCAACACTGTCACCTATGGGAAATGGAGAGTAAAAAATGTGCCAAATGAGGTAGGTGGTCAAACTAAGATTTCCAGACAAAGCACTGATGGTACTTGCTGGCTTCCTGCTGCTTCTACTAAAATACAAGAGAAAAAGGATGTGATTGTAAACTCCTTTTTTAAAACTTCACAAATGTCCAACACTGTACCTCAGAAAAACCTAATTAAGGTTTCTGAGAAGCTTTAGGAAATAGTCAACTCAGCAGTCTCAACTACATCTCACACTCTAAGATATTTTTGGATGTAGCTTTTATCTAATGCACTGAACCTCAATAAGAATCATAGGAGACCCACAGAGCTTTTTGAAGAATTCTGTTGGCAAAATACCACCAAACTCTGCCTTTCCTACTGATAGATGTTGGATGCATGGTTACAGATAATTTGTTCTTTATCTCCAAAGTCTTCGAGAGGAAATGTACTCAGGAGCTCTACTTAAGAAACTTACACCCAACAAGCTTCAGCTACACCTGGATTTGAATTACATGACAAGATTCTGAATTTTGAGCTGATGCTATAATGGGTAAGACTTTTAGAAGTTACATATGGGAAACAGAAAAAATTGTGACCAGAGAGAAGTGTGGTGGTTTAAAATATGCCTCTAAATTATGTGACACCTTCAAAAGTAGGATCCTAAACCACTGCCTCTTGACTGTGGACTGGACTTAATGACTTGCTTCTAATGAATAGAATAAAAGAGATGTGATGGTGTGTATAGTTACCATGACTAGGTCATAAAAGACACTGTGGCTTCTTTGTCCTCTCTCATGGATTGCTTGCTCAGAGGGAAGCCAGTCACCAGGCCATAAGGAGTCCAGCAGCCCATGGAGAGGGTCATGTGGCAAAGAAGCCTTGTATCAACATCCACATGAGTGAGATTTCCTGGAAGTCCAGCCCAGTCAAGCCTTCAGCTGATTGCAGCCCCAGCCCACATCTTGAGAGGAATCTGATGGGAGACCCTCAGCCAGAACCATCTAGCTAAGCCTCTCCCAGGTTCCTGACTCTAGAAACTGTGAGAAAATAACTTTTTTATTTTAAAGTACTGCATTTGGGGGTGATTTTTTAATAAAGCAATATTTCTTTTTTGGTAACACAGGGTTTTTAATATGAACTTCCTGTTGAAAGCAAATGCAGCCATGAGGATTTGGCTACTGAATTTAACAACAGGGAGCAAATCAAGTACTTCATGGTTGATTTTTATGAAGCCATGGATGACTACCCACCTGCCATAGAAGTACAAACCAATTTTGAAGTTCCATATTGTAACAGAGGGATTGGGGTTTTTTTTTCTTTTTTTTTAATTAAAGTATCATTAATATACAATCTTATGTTGGTTTCAAATGTACATCACAGTGGTTCAGCAGCTCCTGAGACCAACTTATGATTACGAATTATTGTGCCCTTTTATCCCCCTCCTCCTCCCTGCTGTACCTGCTCCAACCCCTCCCCCTTGGTGACCACTAGTCACTTCTCTTTGCTATGTTTTTATATTCCACAAATAAGTGAAATAATATGGTATTTGGCATTCTCCACCTGGCTTATTTCACTGAGCATTTTACCCTCTAGATCCATCCATGTTGTTGCAAATAGCAGGATTTCTTTTCTTTTTATGGCTGAATAATATTCCATTGTGTATATGGATCACATCTTCTTTATCCATTCACCTATTGATGGACACGCTGCTTCCCTATCTTGACTATTGCAAATAGTGCAGCAATAAACAGGGGCACATGTATCTTTTTGAATCAAGGATTTTGTTTTCTTCAGGTAAATTCCTAGGAGTAGAATTACTGGGTCAAATGATATTTCTATATTTAGTTTTTTGAGGAACCTCCATACTGCTTTCCACAGCAGTTGTACCAACTTACATTCCCACCAACAGTGTAGAGGGTTCCTATTTCTCTGCATCCTCACCAGCATTTGTTCTTTCTTGTCTGTTGGATATTGGCCACCCTAACTGGTGTGAGGTGATACTTCATTGTGGTTTTGATCTGCATTTCTATGATGAATAGTGATATGGAGCTGCTTTTCATGTACCTGTTGGCCATTTGTATTTCTTTTTGGAGAAATGTCTATTCAGGTCCCCCACCCATTTTTTAAGCAGGTTTTTTTTTTTTTTGATGTTGAGGCATGAGTTCTTTATCTATTTTGGATGTTAACCCCTTATCAGATGAGTCATTTATGAATATATTCTCCCATACTATAGGATGCCTTTTTGTCCTGCCAATGGTTTCCTTGCTGTACAGAAGCTTTTTAGTTTTTGATGTAGTCCCAGTTTTCATTTTTTATGTTGTTTCCCTTGCTCAAGATGTGTCCAGGAAAAAATTTCTCATGCTTATATTCAAGAGATTTTGCCTGTTTTTTCCCAAGAGTTTTATGGTTTCATGCCTTACATTCAGATCTTTGATCCATTTCGAGTTTCCTTTGTGTATGGAGTTAAGACAATAATCTAGTTTCATTCTCTTACATATAATTGTCCAGTTTTCCCAATACCAGTTTTGAAGAAGTTGTCTTTTCCCCACTGTTTATTCATGGCTTCTTTATCATATATTAATTGGCCACATATGCATGGGTTTATATCTAGGCTCTCTGTATTCTGTTCCATTGATCTGTGGGTCTGTCCTTGTGCTGGTACCAAATTATTTTGATTACAGTAGCTTTAGAGTTTGAAGTCAGGGAGTGTAATCCCCCCAGCTTTATTCTTTCTTCTCAAGATTGCTTTGGCTATTCAGGTTCTTTTGTGGTTCCATATGATTTTTAGAACTATTTGTTCTACTTCATTGAAGACTGTTATTGGAATTTTGATATGGATTACATTGATCTGTAAATTGCTTTGGGCAGGATGGCTATTTTAACAATATTAATTCTTCCTATCCATGAGCACAGGATAGATTTCCATTTATTGGCATCTTTTTTAATATCTCTCATGCGCATCTTGCTGTTTTCAGAGTACAGGTCTTTCACCTCCTGGGTTAGGTTTATTCCTAGGTATTTTATTCTTTTTGAAGCAATTGTATTTCTGGTTTCTGATTTCTTTTTCTTCTGGCTCATTTTTAGTATATAGGAATGCAACAGATTTCTGTGTATTAATTTTGTATACTGCAACTTTGCTGAATTCAGTTATTATTTCTAACAGTTTTTTGGCAGATTCTTTAAGGTTTTCTATGTATAATATCATGTTATCTGTAAATAGTGACAGTTTAACTTCTTCCTTACCATTAGGATGCCTTTTAACTCTTTGTGTTGTCTGACTGCTATGGCTCAATTAACAACTCTTGAGTACTGAAATATTGTCTGGTCACTGCTATATCCCTAATATCATAACAGGGCCCATTAAAGTTTTGCAAATGTAGAAAAATGCTTACCTTCACTCACATAGCTAAAGAAATGCAAATTAAAACAAGATGACATTTTTAACCCATCACAAGAGTTAGTAAACTATGGGCCATGGTCCAAATCCAGCCTGCCACCTGATATTCTAAGGAAAGTCTTATTGGGCACAGCTACACTCTCACATTTATGTATCCTCTACAACAGCTTTTGTACTACAACAGCAGAGTTTAGTTGGAATAGAGACATTATAGCTCCACAAAGCTGAAAATAACTATTTGGCTTTCTGTTGAAACTGTTTGCCAATCCATGATCTACCACATTGCCAAATATTTAAACGTTTGATGTTACTGTTGGTGAGCTTGCAAAATGGCACCCTCATATATTGTTTGCTGGAAAGTCAACAGGTACAGATTCTCTGGCAGTTAGTTGATGACATCAGTAAAGTTAAAATGCACATACTCTTTAACCCTATAATTTCACTTCTAAAAATTTATCCTAGAGCAATACATGGACAAATTCACAAAGATATGAAGGATGTTCCCGAAGGCACTATTTGTAGGAATAAAATGAAAGAAAAGTAACAACCTCACTATCCATCAAGAGGACATGGTTAAATAAATTATGGTGCATACATCCCATGGAAGACAACTGTAGTTAAAAAGAATGTGATAAAGTTATATGTATGACTAATTTTAAAATATAAACTACATTAAGTGAAAATGCAAAGTTGCAGAAAACAATGTGTATCATCTATAATGTGCTTCTAAGTCTACAAAATAGTACGTTTTAGTTTTTCAAAAATATAGCATATTAAGACTAGTTTAATAGGCATCTTGCATATATCTTTATTACAGCTAGTTACATAAACTAGCTTAATTGGCACTAAAGTGCTCAAGATAGAGGCAGTACTCAGAAATTCATTCTCACATAATTTTTTTGTAGCTTCATGATTGTTTTTTGCCAATGAGCCTTGACATTTTAGATGCATAATATTCCAAGTAGTTTCCCCAAAATACACACATTACATCTTTAAAGCAACCGCTTTTTATTGCATAAAAAGGTACTGAGAAAAAAGGTTTGGAAGTCAGAAATGTAAGGGATTAGGTTGGCCAGCTTAATTTGCTTTAAGGAAAAAAAAAACAAGCTTAATTTGCTTTAAAAAGTTTGGGGCATTTTAGTTTTGTCTTTTAATTAGTAAAGGAACAGAAACAATGAGAACCACTTTGTTTTTAATACATATGTAGTCAGCTTAGTTACCAGCTCATATTACCAAGGCTCCTAAGTAAAATGCTCCTGCATAATTTAAGTATTCACAATGAACAAATATCGATTGAGTTTCTGGTATTCAATCAACATTGTTATAGGGATGTAACACATACAAGTATATCAAGAAGTGACTGGTGGTCTACTGTAACACATACAAATAAATCAAGAAGTAAATCAAGTTTAAGACTAATTCTTTCCTTAAAAACACTCTTGATAAGCTGATATGTGGAAAGAGCTGTCTTTCTTAGGGATGATAAAACCTGGTTTCTAGTTCCCTTCCCACACCCCCAACCCATTAAAAATAACTAGATTTTTTTTAATTGAAGTATCATTGATATACAATCTTACATTGGTTTCATGCGTACAACACAGTGGTTCAACAGTTAACCGTATTATTAAATCCTCAGCGCAATTAGTGCTGTTACTATTTGTCAACATAGAAAGATATTACAGTATCACTGTCTATATCCTGCATGCTACACTACTATCCCATGACAAACTTATAACTGAGAGTTTTTGTGCCACTTTATCCCTCTCAACCTCTCTACCCACCCACCCCAACCCTTCCCCCATGGTAACCACCAGTCAGTTCTCAGTGACTGGTCTATGAGTCTACTGCTATTTTAAGAACTAGGTTATTTTAGACAAGTTTTGAAACTTAGTTTTCTATAAAATATATATGTTTGTAATAGGGATTGTAATTCTAGGGACAATAACATTAAATTTTTAGCATTCGTACATTCAAACCCAACCATTCAAATCCATTGGGATTCCACTTCCTCTCTGAAGCTTTCCTAGATTATTTCTTCCACACACTCACTTCCTTCCCTAAACTCCCTCTAGACTTGACACTTTAGAATTTCACTGAGTTGCTGTCAGGGATTAGTTTGGCTACTAACCAACCTAACTAATGCTTTAAGGACAGCAACTGTGACTTCCAAAAACTTTTTTTCCTCCCTTACTTTACATGTAATAAAAAGGGATTGCTTTTAAGAAATGATATTGTTTACTTATCAAATATTAATGACTCAAATGTTTTTTTAGTGGCAGTACCTTGACTCAACAAGATTTCTCTAATGAATGTCTTCTATTCACATACCCAATACCACCTCAACAGAAATTTAATTTCCTGCAATGGTTACCATTTTCTATCACTGTCCTTTCCTGAGTGACTCATTCTCTTTATCACTTTTGGGATCAAGAGAGGCCCTCATTCTCCCTCTGGTATCCAGGACATAGCCAGGAGTTCTAATCCACTCCCAGGACCTACAGAACCAGTTTTTAATTGCCCTAATGCTTTACACTGTCACTGTCCACTTTACAGATGGATGGAATTTGAGAGTACCTACTATAAAGCTGAGTTTTAAAACCAATCCTCCTCAAAATTTTCCCAAAAACTGAAGAGGAAATACTTTCAGACTCATCCTGTGACCCAATACTACCCAAGTACCAAACCTAAAGACACTACAAGAAAATAAACTACAGACCAATATCCTTGGTGGATACTGATGCAAAAATCCTCAACAAAATACTAGGAAGAAGAATTCAACAGCAGATTGAAAGGATTATATACCATGACCAAGTGGGATTTATTCCAATAATGCAAGGATGGTTCAACACAAAAAAAATCAATATAATACACCATATATAAAAAGTGAGGAGGGAAAAAGAAAACCCACACATCATTTCAATTGATACAGAAAAAGCATTTGTCAAAATTCAACTAGTCATGATAAAAACACTCAATAAATTGGGAATAAGAGATAACTATGTCAATATAATAAGGGCCATATATGATAAACCAACAGCTATCATACTCCACAGTGAAAAACTTAGAGCTTTTCCTACAAGATCAGGAAAAAGATAAAGATTCCTGCTTTTACATGCTTTTCAACACAGTACTGGAATTCCTAGCCAGAGCAATTGGGCAAGAAGAAAACATTTTTAAATCCAAAATGGAAAGAAAGAAGTAAATTATTTCTGCTCACACACATGATCTTATAAATAGAACACCCTAAAGGTTCCACAAACTGTTAAAACTAAGAAGTGAATTCAAAAAGTTGCAAAATTAAAAAAAAATGCAAAAGTCAGTTGTGTTTTTAAATACTAACAATGTACAAAAGCATCAAAAGGAATGAACTACTTAGAAATAAATCTAGCCAATAAAGCAAAAGAACTGTCCCCTGAAAGCTACAGAACACTGCTCAAAGAAATGAAAGACCCAAGTAAATGACATCTCATGATCAGAGATTAAAGGACTTAATATCGTTAAGATGTCTATACTATACAAAGTTATCTACAGATATAATACAATCCCTATCAAAATCCTAATGGCATTTTTTGCAGAAATAGCAATGGAACATGGAATCTCAAAGGACCCCAAATAGCCAAACAATGTTGAAAAAGAACACCAAAGCCTGAGGTCTCACACTTTCTGATTTCAAAGCTCATTACAAAGCTAGACTAATCACAAAATTAAAAAAAATTAAAAAGAAAGAAAAGAATGGATAAAGAAGATGTGGTACATATACACAATGGAGTATTATTCAGCCATAAGAAGAAAACAAATCCTACCATTTGCAACAACATGGATGGAGCTAGAGGGTATTATGCTCAGTGAAATAAGCCAGGCAGAGAAAGACAAGTACCAAATGATTTCACTCATATGTGGAGTATAAGAACAAAGAAAAAACTGAAGGAACAAAACAACAGCATAAACACAGAACCCAAGAATGGACTAACAGTTACCAAAGGGAAAGGGACTGGGGAGGATGGGTGGGAAGCGAGGGATGGGGGGGGCAAAGGGGGTATTACGAACAGCATGTATAATGTAGGGAGGAGGGGGCACGGGGAGGGCTGTGCAACACAGAGAAGACAAATAGATTCTACAGCATCTTACTACGCTGATGGACAGTGTAATGGGGTTTGTGGGGGGGACTTGGTGATGGGGGGAGTCTAGTAAACATAATGTTCCTCATGTAACTGTAGATTAATTATACCAAAAAAAATAAAAAGCTAGACTAATCAAAACAGTGTGGTATTGATGTAAAGACAGACATGTGAAATAATGGAATTGAAGAGACCCGGAAATAAACCCGTACACATCCGGTCAAATGATTTTCAACAAGGGTTGCCAAGACCATTATGGAGAAAGGACAGTCTCTTCAACAAATGGTGCTGGGAATCATATACAAAAATTAAGTCAACATGAATCAAAGACCCAAACATAAGACCTAAAACTATATAACTTAGAAAAAACAGGAAGAGCTTCAGACTTAACAATGATTTCTTGAATATGACACTAAAAGGACAGGCAACAAAAGTAAAAATAAATTGCACTGCATCAAATTTTAAAACCGTGCAACGAAGGACACAACAGAGTGAAAAGTCAACTCACAGAATGGGAGCGCTTTCGTAAATCATATGTATGAAACGAGAATTGAGCTAAATTGTAGGACACTCTATGGTGTGAAAAACTGTCTGATGTGGGGGAGAAACCACCACACTTTACAGGATCAGAACTGTCTGAAATGTCCTGTGTGTGAGGTAAAGGAGAAACACAAGAAAAACTGGATTTTTCCCAACTCGGGGTGAAAACTAAGATTCTGCACTAACATACACAGGATCCAGCAATTTCAGAGCAGGGCCCCACAGAGGTATTTGAACAGCCATGTTTATAGCAGCTTATTCACGATTAAGTAGAAGCAATCCACCAACAGATAAACAAAATGTGGTTTACACATACAATGGAATATTATTCAGCCTTACAAGGGCCATTCTGACACAAGCTACAACATGCGTGCGCCCGGAAAATATGTTAATTGACCTTCGAAGCTTCCTTTTCCAGCAGCTGCCTCAATAATACTCAAACCTATTTTGAGTTCTAGGTCCTGCAGTGAGAAAATAGTGAATAAGATAGATAAGGTCCCTTCCCTCGCCAAACTTAAAATCCAGCAAAGAACACAGGCAGAACCTAGAAACGCATTCACACCTCCTAAACCTAAAACAACCAAGCTGGTAACTCCATTCAGGTGTACGTCACAATGATCAAACAATAAACTTATTTTCACTGGAAAAAAGTAACCTTTCTTTCCATAGAAAGGTGCCAACTTAAGCTGCTGACATTTTCCTCTGCCCCTTTCTACACCGAAGAAGACAAGGTCGCAGCAGCACGGCTCCGGTTCAGACCCCCCACCGGCGCCCGGAGCGGGCTCGCACCCAAGCCCTGCAGAAAGGAGCTCCTTCCTCCCCGCTCCGGCGGCGGCGCCCTGCTCCGAGCCCCGGCCCGGGGGCCAGAAGGGCCTTCCCTCGAAGCCCAGAGGACCGGCGCTCTTCCCCGAGCCCTGTCCCGGAGGGCGCTCTCCCTGAGGCCCAAGTCCGCCCCCCGGGGGCTGGCGAGGGCGGCCGGGGCGGCGGCTGAGACCGGGACGCGTACCCATGCGGATGTGCAAGCTGGCGGAGGCCACGCAGCTGCCATAGTTGAAGTCGTCCTCGACGGAGGAGCGCGGGTAACGGGGGTCAGAGTCGGCCATGGCGCTAACCGAACCCCCAACTCCCCCGGCCTTAGGGGCGTGCGCTGACTCCACGACTCCCGCCACTTCCGGGATGAAGCCGGCCAGCCCCGACCAGCCGAGCTGCCTCGGCGGAGCGGAGGCCACCTCATCGATGAGTCCGCCTCGGAAGTCCAACTGGGCTGGGAAAAAGGAGATTGCTGTAGGTCCGTGGAAGGGAAAACGAATTACATTCTAGGCGTCATCCGAAGTGAAACTTTCCTCAGATTTTCCTGAGCAAGCTTTTTAAACCCCCAGACATGGAGAGTTCCTAAAGAAAAAAGCGAAGTCCCATTCCCATCCATTCAACTAATATCCATCTTATTCATATACTCCTTCAATAATCACACCGGAGAGACACTTTTAATTATACTAGTATTGATAATCCCTCAATTTATTGAACACTTTCTATAAACCAAGTTTTCTGAATGAGAGAATGCTTAATCCTGCAAGATGAGTAAGAGCCAACAGAACAGTGCAGCGACGTTAAGTAGGGCCTCAAGGGTCCAGTGTATGTGGGATGGGGTGTGGGGGGGTAAGCTCAGATGGCAAAGAGCAAGGCTGGGTAGATAAACAAAGGCCACATCACTGTACCCCAAATGGAGAATACATGGGCGAGTGTCATGACCAAAGGCAGGGAAGAGGGGATATTGTATTACTCTAAAAGAAATGATGGTGGCAAGTAAGATATTGCTGCCTTTTCACTGCAAAGGTGAGGTGTAAATAAACCCAAAGTAATATCATTCCAGGGTCCCTTGAAATTTTTTTGGTGAGTTTATTTTGATATACCCACATTGGCCTAGTCTCCACTTTATAACACTCAAAACAATTAGTAGGTGGAACTCAGAATAGCTGTGGGACTGTCTATTCTGAAACTACATCTTTAAGTTTGATGTTATTGAGAGATTTTGTCAAAAGAACTAAACTCCCATAAAAATGAGCAAAATAAGCTTATCTTTTATTATTGTAGAGTCATTTTATAAGCATATTACTCAAATTAATATAAAGTCATAATAATATAATTTATTATCAAAGGCAAATTGGAGTTGAACTAGGAACCCACAATTTTTTTTATTTTGCCCATAGAATATTCATTAACGAAAACTATCAAGTCCTTTAAATGACATAAACAAAAAGGAAAAACTGGGAACAAAAAGAGAAGAGCTTCCAAATAACAGTGATATACAACTTATTAACGTGTAGATACAGAGAGAGACATGGTCAATTATATGTGTTTATACAATGTATACAGTCAGCTCCTGCACTAAGAAAACAAAGGTGGTGCTTTAATTTGTTCTTTTAAAATAAACGTGTACATTTTTAACTGAAGTATCATTGATATGCAATCTTAAATTGGTTTCGAATATACAACAGAGTGAACCAACAGTTACCCATATTATTAAATCCTCACCCCGACTAGTGCAATTACTGTCAACATAGAAAGATGTTACATAATCATTGACTATATGCTCCATGCTGTACTACTATTTCTGTGACCATTTTATATTATGATTGAGAATTTTTGTGCCCCCTTATCCCCCTCACTTTGCCCCCACCCCACTCCAACCCCTCCTCCATGGTAAGCACTAATTACTGCTCAGTGTCTATGAGCCTACTGCTGTTTTGTACATTCTATTTTGCTTTGTTTTTATATTCCACAAATAAGTGAAATCATATGGTATTTGTCTTTCTCCACCAGGACTATTTCACTGAGCACAATACCCTCTAGATTCAGCCAAGTTATCACAAATTGCAGGCTTTCTTTTTTATGGCTAAATAATATTCCATTGTGTATATGTACCACCACTTCTTTAACTCTTGATGGACACTTAGGTTGCTTCCATGTCTTGGCTGTTGTAAATATGTAGCAACAAACATAGGGGTGCATATATGCTTTTGAATCAAAGATTTTATTTTCTTCAGGTAAATTTCTAAAAGTGGAATTACTGGGTCCAATGGTATTTCTACTTTTATTTTTTTGATGAACCACCATACTGTTTTCTGTAGTGACTCCATCAGTTGACATTCCCACCAACAGTGTAGAAGGGTTACCATCTCTCCACATTTTCACCAACACTTACTATTCTTGTTGTTTGGATAGTGGCTATTTTAACTGGTGTGAGGTGATATCTAATTGTGGTTTTGCTTTGCATTTCCCTGATAATTAGCAATGTGGAGCATCTTTTCATCTGCCTGTTGGAGAAATGTCTGTTTACGTCCTCCACCCATTTTTTAATCAGGTTATTTGTGGTTTTTTTTGGTGTTTGAGGCATAGGAGTTCTTTATGTATTTTGGATGTTAACCCCTTATTGGATAAATCATTTACAAATATATGCTCCCATACTGTAGGTTGCCTTTTTTTGTTCTGCTGTAGGTATCCTTTGCTGTACAGAAGCTTTTTAGTTTGATGTAGTCTGATTTTTCATTTTTTATTTCCCTTGCCCAAGGAGATGTGTCCAGGAAGAAATTGCTCATGCTTATGTTGAAGAGATTTTTGCCTATGTTTTCTTCCAAGAGTTTTATAGTTTCATTTCTTAAATCCAGGTCTTTGAGTCACTTCAAGTTTCCTTTTGTGTATGAAGTTAAGACAGAAATCCATTTTCATTCTCTTGCATGTAGCTGTCCAGTTTTCCCAACATCAGTGTTGAAGAGGCTGTCTTTTCCCCATTATATATTCATAGCTCCTTTATCATATGTTAATTGACCATATATGCATGGGTTTATATCTGGACTTTCTGTTGTTTCCCACTGATCTAAGGGTCTGTTCTTATGCCAGTACCATACTGTTTTGATTACTGTAGCTTTGTAGAAGAGCTGAAGTCAGGGAGCATAATACCCCAGCTTTGTTCTTTCTCAGGATTGCTTTGACTATTCTGGATCTATTGTGGTTCCATAAGAATTTTAGAACTATTTGTTCTACTTCATTGAAGAGTGCTGTTGGTATTTTGATAGGGATTGCATTGAATCTGTAAATAGCTTTGGGAAGGATGGCCATTTTGACAATATTAATTCTTCCTATCCATAAGCATGGGATATATTTCATTTTATTTGTGTCTTCTTTAATTTCTCTCATGACTGTCTTATAGACTTCAGAGGGCAGGTCTTTCACCTCCTGGGTTAGGTTTATTCCTAGGTATTTTGTTCTTTTTGATGCAATGTAAATGGAGTTGTTTTCCTGATTTCTCTTTCTGCTGGTTAGTTGTTACTATGTAGAAATGAAACATATTTCTGTGTATTAATTTTGTATACCACAATTTTGCTGAATCCAGTTATTAGTTTTAAGAGTTTTTTCTTGGAGTCTAGGTTTTCTATGTATAATAACATGCACCTGCAAATAGTAACAGTTTAACTTCTTCCTTACCAATCTGAATGCCTTTTATATCTTTGTCTTGTCTAATTGTGATTGCTAGGACCTCCAGTACTCTGCTGAATAAGAGTGATGAAAAGAGATTTTCAAGAGATTTTGCCTATGTTTTCTTCTAAGAGTTTTATGGTTTCATTTCTTAAATCCAGGTCTTCCATTCACTTCGAGTTTCCTTTTGTGTATGAAGTTAAGACAGAAATCCATTTTCATTCTCTTGCATGTAGCTGTCCAGTTTTCCCAACACCAGTGTTGAAGAGGCTGTCTTTTCCCCACTGCATATTCATAGCCCCTTTATCATATATTAATTGACCATAAATGCGTGGGTTTATATCTGGGCTTTCTATTCTTTCACACAGATCTGTGGGTCTGTTCTTATACCAGTACCATACTGTTTTGATTAGTAACAGTTTAACTTCTTCCTTTGTCTTGTTCCTGGTCTTAGAGATCAAGATCTTTCCTCCCTTGCATTCTTGAGAAGAATGTGTATCCTGTTGCTTTTGGGTGAAATGTTTTGCAGACATCTGTTAAGTATTATATATTATTTAGTGCCTCTGTTTCCATATTTATTTTCTGTCTGGTTGATCTCTCTATTGATGCGAAAGGTTCATTCCTAAAATGAAGGTGATGCCATCTGGTTTCCCCTTTAATTCTGTTAGTATTTGTTTCACATATGTGAGTGATCCTAGGTTGGGTGCTTAGATATTTATAATGGTTATATTCTCTTGTTGGACTGACCCTTTTATCATTATGTAATGTCCTTTTTTGTCTCTTGTTACTTTCTTTGTTTTGAAATCTTTTTTGTCTGATAAAAGTACTGCTATTCCTGCTTTTTTCTCCTTACTATTCACATGAAATAATTTTTTCTATCCTTTCTCTTTAGTCTGTTTATGTCTTTGGGTCTGAAATGAATCTCTTGCAGGTAGCATGTAGATGGATCTTGCCTCTTTATCCATTCTGCCACTCTATGTCTTTTGATTGGTACATTTAGTCCATGTAGATTTAAGGTAATTATTGATAGGTATGTACTTATTGCCATTTTATTAATTGTTTTCTGGTTATTTTTTATAGTTCTTCTCTGTTGCTTTCTTCCTGTCTTATCCTTTTCTCTTGTTATTTGATGGTTTTCTTTAGTGTTATGATTATATTCCTCTCTAAATTTTTGTGTATCTGTTATAGGCTTCAGGTTTTTGGTTATCATAAGGTTCAAGGATAGCTTCCTGACTATATAAAAGTCTATATTAAGTTGATGATTGCTATATTTCAAACACAATGTAAAACTACTTATTTTTTCTTCTTCCTCCTCCACACTTTATGTATTAGATGTATAATCTGCACTTTTTGTGTATCCCTTGACTCTTTTTGTGTATAGTTGGTTTTATCCTTTTGTTTTGTTTTAATTTCATACTTGCTTGTTAATTAATTGGTCTACTACCTTTACTGTCAGTTTATTTTCACTGGTGAAACTATTTAGCCTTAGGAACATTTCCTCTACAGAGGTCCCTTTAACATATCCTGTAATACTGGTTGAATGGTTACAAATCTCTAAGCCTTCATTTTCCTGGGAATTGTTTAATTTCTGCTTCAAATATGAATGACAATCTTGCTGGGTAAAGGATTCTTGGTCAAAGATCCTTTTGTTTCAATACATTAAATATTTGATGCCACTCCCTTCTGGCCTGTTAAGTTTCTGCTGAAAAATCTGCTGATAGCCTGATTGGG